ACCAAGTGCAATGAAGCTACTATATACAAGCTGTCCATCACGCTCAAGGAAACTCCTCTCTTTTGCTACCTAGTCTTGCAAAAAGCAAGCAGTGACCTCTTGGGGCAACACAATAGGCCATTGGACTTTTCCCTGCTTGACCAGTTACAAGTCAGGGAGGCCTGATTGACATCTTGCACTACTACTGCTGTAACAGCAAGTCCATTTCTGAATATTTCTGCATGCTTTTAAGGCTTCTAGATTATTGGCTTCTCACACTCATCTGGACTTTCAAACTGATTCACTGGATATTCTTAGATATCAGTATGGTGATGCCAACTTCCAACAGTTCCAGCACAACTGGCTTGTTAATTACTATTGTAATGAGTACAACTCTATTTCTGTTTTTTTAAAAGTAAGTCATATTTATGACTCCCCAGGAGGTAGTGAATATAATTTATGGAGTGCGCAATAAAAATTAACATTTCTTGCTCTAGGGCTCAGGCGCCAGGAAAGCAAATACTTTCTGAGGCCAACACAAATGACTGAAGGCACTTATTACAGAAACCAAAATAGTAAAACATAATGACACAGACATTCAACACAGGTCTCTAGACCACTTTGGTGGTGGTGGTGGGGAACGGTAAAACTTGAAGAGATCAGATAGTTGTCTCCTTTTTATGGCCACCATGGCCTCTACTTTCATGGCTGTTATAAAGAAACTAAGCAGAAACTACTTTCTATTTTGCTTCCTCTTCCTATAAGAAGTGGATTTATTTAGGTCTGCATTCATATGAACCCAACAAAGCCTGTCATCTCTTCCTACTTTGCACCAAAGTTCGTGACTGAGTTATGCGCCATTCTGTCATTTGGGGCTATTTAACAGCTTCAGAAAAATGCCAAATTCTGACCTGAATCAAGGCTATTTGTATCAATCTGGGCACAGCCCAGAGTGAAATAAACCACCTAGGTCTGCTTTTGGTACAGACACATCTGAGCAGTTCGGGCTGATAGCTATAGGTGACAAGCAGGGCATTCTGTTCCTCTTTTATGGGTTCAAGTTTAGGTCTGGCAGTCCATTAAAGGCTATTAGACATCCTGGCTATATACCACCTCCAGAAAATGCCTCCACATAAGAATTACTGGGAAACAACAGACTATAACTCAGTGAAGAAACAATCTTTTTATGAAGGGAATGTTCAGAATGGATATAATGTTGAAAATGTACCATATTTTTCCATGTATAAGACGCTCCCCCAACACTTTTCTAACCCAAAATTAAGACATCTAAGTGTGGCTTAGCAAATGTAGGGTAAAAAGGATCAAAGTGCTGCAGGATCGCTTTGATCCCTGCTTTCTCCCTTTGTGCTAAGCCCCGTAGGGAGGGGGAAAGGGGCCAAAGCAATCCTGCAACTGCACGATTATTTTGATCCCTTTCCCACTTATACAGCCATGGGATTGTTTTGATTCTTTCCCCCCTCCTTTTGTTAAGCCCCATGGAATTTAGCAAGCAGAGGGGAAAGCAGGGATCAAAGCGCTCCTGCAGCGCTTTGATCCCTGCTTTCCTTTTGCTAAGGATTAGCAAGTGGAGGGGAAAGCAAGGATCAAAGCCCTGCAGGAACAATTTGATCCCTGCTTTCCCCTCCACTTGTTTTTGTACTCTCCTCAGTTTACTTCCATATGTAAGGCGACCCTCAATTTTTAGTCTAAAATTTTAGACAAAAGTATAGTCTTCTGCACGGAAAAATATGGTATATATTGTGCGCAGTGTTTTAAACACTTGAAAAAACTTGGCTTTTCATTGCAGCTTCTGGCAATCACTTCATAATTGTTTACTTCATCTGTTCCAAACAGGAAGAAATTATGCTGAGGTGCATAGCAGTTTCATTCACACCAAACCTGACACAACCAAGGCAATGCTTTACTTTCTCATCACTGCCAGAAGTAACTGTGAAATTCAGTGATCCAGACCTCCCTCCGCAGATTGTTTCATAGTCCAAGAACAACCTCAAGAAACAGTTTTATTATTTATCAGATCACACTTTCCTTTAGTCCATTACAGAAATAATGTCACAGAAGTACTGTTTAAGATGTGGCAGCAATTGACCTTATGTTGATCAACCATGCCCTGCTGCAACTAGCAAAACTGCTGGCAATAAACACTAGATCTGAAAATAAAAGCTTTGTCTTCCTATCAAAATCATTATAGCCTTTTGGCATACTCTCTTGAGTAGGTAATTTAAATTCAAGGTTACATGCAATTCACTGCTACACATTTGAAAGCAACAGAAAAAACAATCAGATGCCATCACATGCAAGGCAGTGAAGTAGCCTTGAACTGCAAACTATTCTATAGGAATTGGGGTGTGTGTGGAAATTCAAAGGAAATACTTAAATGAAGTTAGTAGACATCTGCTCTGTGGGCTTACTTACATGCCTTGCAATTGGATCTAACGTACTGGTAAGGAACGAGGACTTTAAATTGCAAGAAGACAAAAGGGCAAAGCTAACTGTGGCGTTTACCCTGTGGCCTGTCAGTTCCCTGTCTTTAGTTCCCCAGACCTGGGTTCAGAAGCCCCGCCACTAAGCTTTTCCACAAAAGCTCTAGCAGGTTACCCACTTCTTTACCATAGACCTCTGACTAAAAGGTACTAAGTCTTCCCTGAGACTCTAGCCGGTCACCCACTTCTTCACCTTAGATCCAAAACTTCCTTCTACTTAGGAATACCTCACTCTCAAAATATTCACTTTCCCAGACTGGATTATTCGAATCCTGCTGCTGGACACCAATTGTGGGGTTTACCCCGTGGCCCCTGCTTGTTTCATCAAACACAGAGCTCACAAAGGTATCCCAACATGCCCTTTAACACACTGCCACCAGTTGATCTCTTTATCAACCTATATTTCCTATGAAAGTCTGAGGTCCATTCAGTACTGAACTTTTAAACAGAAACAGGTTTATTGATTACAAGTTGTTTCAGCACTAGGACTAGTTCTTAAGCACATTCTTAAAGTGCACAAAGCTTCAATATTTTACTTTAATCATTTCTATCTTAATACAGGTCACACTCTAATCACTCCTTAAACACACTTTCTGACTCAAACCCCAAACTCTTTCTCTCTTCTCTGTCTCTCTTGACTGAACTCACTAGACTCTGACTCACCCCTCCCTTCCTGGTTTCTCTCGCTCCACCTCCCAAGAGCTCCCATTGGTGCAGGCCAATACCATTATATATATGTATATAGGAAGACAGGGTGTTCGCTACACTAACAATATGGAAAATTGCTTGTGGACTGAAAATGGCTGCATATCTTTCGTAAGTATTCTAATCATGAATCCATGTATACCAATAGATGCAAGAAAGCAGCACTTTCGTAGCTCACCTACACACTTCAGGAAGATTGACAACATTCTTGACTCTCCATCTTCTGTTTGTATTTAACACCATCAGCCATAGGATTATTCTGGGAATGGAGGGCACCGCATTGTAGTGATTGAGCTTCTGTTTGGATGGTCAGCTTCAGAAGGTGGTACTTGCAGTATAACACATGGCATCATGATTCACCAGTACTGTAGGATATTTTTTGTGCCGCATACTATTCAATATCTCTACCAGAAATGGGCAAACTCTAGGGACCAATTGTACCCTCAGAGACTCACTGTGGACAGTTCTTTCACTGCAAATGTGTATTTCCCTTACATCCCCCCTCCAAAGTGAGCAAATCTACACATCTAGTCTTTGATGAAAATATTAGAAACAACCCCCCCCCCAAACTGCCACTCTGGGAGGCTTCCAGGAGCAGTGAGTCTCCTTTTGTTTTATTTTGAAAGGGGGAAATGAGGGCAGGAACGTGGGGAGGAAGCTGCATGTGGCTTGTATTTTGCCCACCATTTATCTAATGACACCACTGAGTGGCATTCTCTGGATTTTGGAGTACGTAGCTATCAGAATGCTGATGACACAAAACTCCATCTTTTCTTTTTATCTTCATTGGAAGGGGGAGGCTATACATGTGTAGTTTGATGTCTAGCTGCCGCAAAAGACAGAATGAGGATCATTTAAATATAAGCTGGATTCGCATGAAATCAAGATGCTGTTAGCAAGTTGCTCTTTTGATCAGAAGGTGTTCAGCTTCTAGGAGCTGGTGCTTGTCATGGATCTATTGATGTCACTTGAAGCTCATGCAGCCTCAGCAGTGTGAAATATCCTTTATCATGTCCAGCTAATGGCCCACTTTTGTCCCTATCTAGGCAAGAGTAACCTTAATTCAGCATTCTACATTCTGCCACTCGATTCCAAAAGACAGTGTCTCTGGCATTTTCTTCAAAATGCCTCCTATGTAGGGCTGCCTTTGAAGCAGAGTTTGGAAGCAGTAGCAGCCAGTTTGATAGCAGAGGCCATAAGATAGGAACACATCACATGTATTCTGGCCCAGTGCGCTGGCTGTCCCTACACAGAGTACATGGCTTAAGTCCCCAACAGCAGATGGTAAACATGCCCCTATTCTAACCTACCAAGATGATCAAGATCTGCTCATTTATTGTGCCATTGCATGTTTTTAATATTTATAATAATGTTTAGAATTGCAATTCAAACTAAAAGTTAAGACAGCAGTCCAATCCTATTGCAGGACAATTTCAACTGAAAGTGCAGCCCTACAAATGTCTATATAGAAATGACATCCACTGAGTTCAATGGGATTTATTCCCAAGCAAATAGTATAGAACTGGATCCTGAAATCGAGATAAAAAACAAGCTACATAGGGGGCGGGGAGCATTTGGCGTATGTTCTATTAAGTTCAGTACCAAATATACAGTCAAGTGTTCCAAGTCCAGCTTTATACTGCTTAGTCTACAATCAACTTCTAATGCTGTAGAATGAATGGCAAGATAAAAAAAAACTTTTCTTAGATTTGATGGATAGGTGACCTTTTCCTATTAAGTTTCAACACTTCAACTGTCAGGAGAACAAAACATTATATCCTATGCCTTTTAAAATTACAGTTTAGGAAATATTGGTAGAAAAATGTAAAAGTGTTTTATTTTTCTTTTAAAAATGTCATATGAAGTATACATTCACTTAACTATAGTGCCAATGGATTTCACTTTTAAAAACACTGAAGTGTTAAAACTGGATTCCACATTCCGTTATATTAAATGAGCATTTCAATACCGTGTTATTCCGTACATGACAAGAACTAACTGAAAATCCTTTGGTGTTGCCTGGATGGCAGTGTTTGGAAAAAATGATTCGATGGGTTATCATTTGTTGCCACGACTTACAGAGGTAAGGTCGGTAGTCCATATCTGTATCACTGCGGTGCTTTCCTGAGCTTTCAGTAGTGATTGGCGCTTTTTGCATGATCGTCTGAGTTGTTGCAAACAAAACTAAATGGTGCTCTCTGACAAGCCTCTCGAGGACCTGAGCACATTTCTTTAGGTTTGCCTCCTGCAAGCTAAGGTTTTCCCCTCCGTTGACTCTATCAATCCAGTAAAAAGCTGACATACTGTCAATAATAAGGAGGCAGAGAGAAGGGTGAGAGCAAAACATGTTATCCAAGGAGTAAAGGGTCAGAAGAAGCTGAGGGCTGCTGTTGCAGTTAACGAAGAAAAAACGTCCCAGGCACTGCTTTATTGTCTCTTCTGTGCCTTGGAACAATCTGTGTTCCAGAATAGTCACTAAACGCAGCATGTCAAAATGGAAGTCTGTATCAATAAAAAGCAAGCCAACTTCCAAGCCACCACCTGTTTTGGGAAGAATGCAGCGGGCTATAAGATGATATAGCATCTCTGTTTTTCCTGTTCCTTCTGGACCGTGGAATTCAACAATATCACCTGTTCGGCAATGAAGAAAGAGGAGTCTGAGCTAAAAAGCTGCAAGTTAAACAAAAGCTAGAAAAAACAAGCCCTAACACATAACATGTAAGCCACATTCCAATCTGAAGTAAAGATCCGTGGAATTCTATACAAATTTAACTGGTCCAGTCAATGAGAACTAGAAGATGGTAACTTTAGTTGAAGTACTTCCAGAATGCACATGAACTGACCAGGAATAAATGGCACTATAGATATGAAGAGAAGAATCCAAGAAAAAAATGTTGGTTTGCATTAATATATTTTGTGGTTTTCTGAATAAAGTTTCTCAAGCCATTGCACAGTCTCCAGATTATGTTACTTTTGAAATAAAAATTGGACTACTGCAGAAAACCAAAAACAAAACTCTGAAACAGAATAGTACAACATTTGCCCAAGAAAAAAACTAATGGAGAAAAACAATTACGTATCTCACTTTTAGATTTCAAAATAAGTTTAAGTCTTCAAAGACTTCATCACAATACATTCAGAATTATTATTATTACTTACATACCGGATGAGAGGAATTTGGGTTGAATGCAATAAAAGTGTATATTTGCATGTATTTAACATTTCTGGGAAAATCTAATGTTTGAAATGTTAATATTTGATTTCACTGTTGTTGTTTTACCATGAATGGGATATCCTTCTTCAGCAAACAGATAAGGTTCAAGATTTTTCAGAGAACTTCTGCCCTCCAGTCGTGCAAGCAGCTTTGGAAAAAACAGAAAGGCAATCCGTTAACTAAAATTAACATATCAACGAACTAAATGTATAAATTGTTACAGAACTTAATGTGTATTCAATGACTTCTTAGCAGTTGTTTTTAAATACAGTACTTTGATGTGCGTAACTGATTCATTTTTAAAATACAGTATTAGACATGGTGCTGCCCATTTGTGTGTGTGTGTATAAATTGTTACAGAACTTAATGTGTATTCAATGACTTCTTAGCAGTTTTTTTAAATACAGTACAGTACTTTGATGTGCGTAACACAACATGCAACTACCTACATATGTTGCCTTTTTTGTTTAAAATGTTCTATGAGTCTGTATGTATCCAAGTAAGCAAGTGTACACAGGAAGGTTGCAAACTAATGATGTTCAGATTCCCCAGAAACTTCATTAATTGTGCATTCAAAGGCCACAATCAAAGTGCAGTCCGGATATTTCCTGAATTAACACACCTGTGGTAACAGCCAGAATAAAAGGGATATTAAATGGGGCATAAATTTAACATTGAATCACCTTCTTCCTAAAATGGAAAGCCTTACACTGCTTCTCAAATTCTACATGTTATTGCTAGGCAGAACTTTATAGTAAGCGCTGTTCTGTTGTGGCCACTATTGAGAAAAACTGCTCTCGCTTCTGATCTAGCTTCTTGATTAAGGGGTATAAAGCAAGGGTGTTCCTGATTTTAGGAGATTAAAAGGTCATGGAGAAACGATTCTTGACTCAGTTGCTATTCCACACTGTCAAAGCCAGAATTCTGAACAGACCTGGAAACCAACAGACAGGGTACAGCAGGAAATTCTCACCCTCTTCTTTGTACTAAGGTTGGCCACTTTCTGCCCCAGTGTTTGCTTCTAAACAATTTTCAAGGGTACTTCAGACAAAGAACATAAAAGTGGTTGACCCTAACACAGCAGCATGCACAGTGATTCCTAGATTCCCCCTAGTCTGCAGATTAAACAAAGCTGCTAAAAACAGTGGTCCATCCACTGTCTCTGTATGATTTCCAAAGGAGACTAAGAAATTCAGGAATGCACCTGAACTGTGAACCCAATCCAGCAAGGCCAATGACCTCTCTCCAACTACAGACAGATATTAAACAAAAGCAAAGGTGGATATCTTGCAACAGAACCTCCTTTATTATTGCTCCCTGTTCAGCACATGACAGAAAAGACCTGGAAGATTTGCACAAGGACCCATCGTAAATAGCTGTCTCTTTTGTCAAAATTTGCTCAGGGGTATGGAAGCTTTAGGGGAACTGTGGTGCCCCTGAACATTTCTGGCAGATAAACCCCGCAGGGAAACTAAAGCAATCTTGGTTCCAAATGCAGGCTCGATTCAAATACAGTCATGTAGGCAGGGAAGTAAAGGTCAAACTATCTTTCTTCTTTATCTGCCCATTTGTCTTTTGCTGTAGCTTTCTAGACACAATGGGCTATTTATTTTGGTGCACAACCTTCACGACATTTACCAAGAAATTCCTCGACAGCACAGCCAGAGAGCCTAATGCAATATGGATTTTTTTTGTGTGGGATGGACAAGTCTTTCAATTTAATGGGGCGTTTTGGTTTAATACCCAAAATGTCTTTAGGTACAAGAAGACAGTCATAGACAAATACAAATCAGTGTCAGAGAGCAAGGCTTCAGTACAAATATTTATTTCATTTTAAATCTCATGTTTTCTTTTAGAGCTTTCAGTGGACTTTTTGCGCTCTGTAGCAGCAATGCTATTATGAAAAATAGTTACACCTTCCTGTTTCCATTTTTTAAACAAAAGTGTTTTGAGTTGACAGAAATGGTATAAAACCTTGATTCAAAGACAAGATCCGCAAACAAGCAAATATCGAATTTTTCCATGTATAAGACTATACTTTTGTCTAAAATCTTTTAAATGGAGGGTCATCTTATACACAGAAGTAAGCTGAGGAGAGAAAAACAAGTGGAGAGGAAAGCAGGGATCAAAGTGATCCTGCAGCGCTTTGATCCCTTTCCCCTTACACTTGCTAAGTCCCACTTAGATTTCTTAATTTTGGATTAGAAAAGGGGGACGTCTTATACATGGAAAAAATTACGGTAACTCTGCACATATTTTCTGGGACTTAACATTGTTTGTGAAGAGGTAATGCGTCAGTCACTCATGCACAAAGTTTCTTGTCTTGTCCATAGCATTCTCAAATATAAGTATCTCAGGCAGCGATGATGTGAAAGAGTCCCTGCCTGAGGTTCTGATAAACCACTGTCAGTCAAATTGGACAATTCCTTGCAAAATAGCCCAACAGCCAAAATGGGCATATATTATGTAGCTTCCTACATTATGTACGTCATTCTGTGACTGCTTTTCCAACTCCTCTCTCTTTGCTAGAAGAATTATCACACTCATTGTTTATAATAGGCAAGCATAACATCATATTTTCCTCAAATAACAGCAGGTGCTTAACTGCATATGCAAATTATTATGATAATATAAGTACCAATGCACCTGTGTTCCTCATGTGTGTTTACTTTTTAAGCTTTTAACGCAAAATAACTGCCGCCATTTAGCAGCATGCTGTGTGTGGTGGGCAACTCCACAGGGGAGCCAGCTAACGGTTTTCCAGAAATAAAAAAGAAAGAACGAAAGAACGAAAGAAAGAACAATCTGAGTTAAGAGATTGCCTTAAGCCAAATTGCTACGATATTAAATATTAATCTTCACAAATGACTAGTAAAGGTTGCATTTTTGATAACATTCCAAACAAGCTTTAGAAGTTTACTGACCTGCTAAATTCCACCACAGGAAAACCTTTGCCAGCATTTATTTATTTTGTGCAGGGAGCTCAAGCCATTATTTGCTCTTCTTCACTCACCCCACACAATGTTTTCACAACAACACTATGAGGAAGGTTATTCAAAGACAGTGACTTGCCCAGGGCAAGGTTCATGTCCAGCAATAACCCCTACTACTGTATCATGGCACAAATTGACAACCAAAATGGAATTTTGTAATAATGGAAACAAAGTGCTCTACTTACTCATTGCCAGTGGATTGAATAACCCACGTAAGTACCATGCTAGATCAGAAAAGAAACTAATTTAATTCAGCGCTCTGTTCACATAATGGCCTAACAGATGCCAGTAGAAAGCCCATGGGCAGGCTATGAGTGTAGAACCACTTTCTGGTTACTGTCCTCAACAAGTGGGACCACTTCTGATCCTGGTTGCAATATATAGCCTTTATAACTAGTAAGCTTATTCTTCATGGGTTCACCAAATCCTCTTTTGAAGAAATCAAGTTGGTACCACCAGTACTTTTTGTAGCAGCAAAGCCCAGGTTAACTATGCAACTTGTGAAGATGTGTTCATTCTTTTCTGCCTGAATTTCATATCCTTCAGCTTAACTGGATGACATGACATTAAAAAGCAATGAAACGGAGAGAAAAAATATTCTCCCATCCCACTTTCTTCATACCATACATAATTTCATACACTTCTATCACAGACCACTTTCCCTTTTCTAAACTAAAAGGCCCAAAATACAGAAAACCTTCCTCAGAGTCATTGCTCCATCAGCTGAATCATTTTAATTGTCCCTTTATTCACTTAAAGAGGCTTTGCCAGTTTTTGTTACTAAAGAAGCTGTTCCCCAAACAGTGATTCAGAGAATAGAGTTGTCTTAATAAAATGAGCCAATGTATCATTAACAGTGCATGCTTCAATCTCAGCACTACCTCCACTAAATCTACAAATAAAACACAAAAAAATAATTTCTTTATTTTCAATTGGAAACGTTTTGGAAGGCCAGGGAAAAAATGCTTTTGGAACTGCTTTTAACACACATTGGACACATAGCATCCTATGCTGACTGTCAGGAGTTGAGCTTTGACAGTGCTGTCACTGCCTCCCAGGTCTCTCTGTGTATGCAAACTGAGTTCTGTCTCTTACAGTACTTCTAAAGGCTCCCATGCCTTTAACATTCTGTTTGAATGCAAACAAAACTCGACAGAAATTCATCTGGAAAGGCCAGTTTCACTTTTTGAATGTTCATCTTGCATTCAGTTGCTTTTCTTCATCCTCTATGGCCAGGACAGGAAAAACATCACTAGATGACATACAATTATTCCTTTTTAATGCTGCTTTTAATCAAGGTAAGACTGTAATTTGCTAACAAGGCCAGCCTTTTCAAATTTTGCATCCGATTCTTATTTATTCTACATTATATTTTTGTTAGGTATATCACTTACCAGTTCACAGACCTAAAAGATTTCTTGAAGTAATTACAAATGACCAACTGTAAGATCACAGGAGACAGCTCAACTCAATGAAAGAGGGAAATAAGACATGTTAAAAATTATTGATCGAAATAATAACAAATAAATTTGTTGGAATCAGGAAGAGGGAGAAATGAATGAACGAAGAAACAAGGCCACCACCCATCTTTCAAAGAGCCTCCTCTGTCATCTTTTCCTCAAGTGTCCAATAATTTAAGATCTGTTGGAGGAGCCCTCAGTTTTTCACCAATGAGAGCTGTACATCATGTTGAGACCAGGAGAGGGGTTTTGCAGCTGTAGCATCATGTTTAGGGAATGCTCTCCCCTTGGAAACCCTGCTGTCAGCAACACTGTCTTTACTGGCCATTCACCTAAGCATTTGGCAGTTGCAGAAACTACAGCTTGGCCATCATCCTTTCTGTCTGTTTTCATCTTGTTTTAATTAAGAAACTGTTCTGAAGCCTTTACAAATATTGTAATGTGCTTAAATTGCAGTAATGTATTATTTACAAATTGTAGTTTACCCTGAAATCTGTCCATACAGAGCAGGCTAGAAATATTTTAATAAATAAATAAACCCAGTTGCACACAGCCAGTGAGCCTCATAAACTAAAGACAGGGGGTGGACTCAATGATCCATAGGGTCCCGTCCAACTCTGCAGTCCTAAGATCATTATTATTAAGACTGTATACCCCATTCTTTTCTTTTCTCAATCTCTTCAGCCTTTGGTGTTTTTAGATTTTAAGCCCAAAGGAATGGCCTGCCTTTGCTAAAAACACACACACAGAGATGTAATCCACTCTGGGAACCTTTCCAGCTACAGAATGGGATCTAAGTGGTATTCACTAATGAAATAATATAGAGGGGCCCTTTTATGTCCCACGCCAGCAGTGCTCAAAATGTGGCACAACTTCTGGTGAGCTGCAGAAGTACTCTAGAGGGAATGCAGTGTTTTCATCACACCAGCTAATAAAAATAGCCTGATTACAATTGTTAACTGCAAAAGGAATTATTGTTGTTTTTATTTGCACCTTTGCAATGTTTATATCTTTAAAACACACTCTAAAGGATAACCCTAGAACTTCAGTGCTGGGAGGGGACCCTTATGGGTCCTCAAGTCCAGCCCCTGTCAATGAAGCCCAGTTGGCAACTGAGCCCCCAACCTCTGGCTCTGCAGCCAAACGCCTAAAGCAGAGTTTAAATCTATTAAACTAAGCTGCTAAACTAACCAGCTTCTCTTTTGGACAGGCACGCAAGAAAGTGGGCTATAGTTTACAAGAATGGATTTCCAGCAAAACCGGCTGGGCCTTTCAGATACCACAAGACTCCATGCTTTTGTTGCAACAGTAAAGAACAAAACAAAACATTTTCACTCCCAAATAAAGTCCCTTCTCCGAAGTGGGCTTTTTGTGCCTTCTCACCTTCAGGTCTATATTCTTTGACACTGACTGATGGGACATAAGTTACCCAAAGTTTGAGAAATACTCTTCTACCACTACACCATGGATGGGGTGGGGTGGGGGGACACAAAGCTTGGTCCATGGCACCCCAATGTCCTTGCCCTCCCTTTTCTTAATGTTACCTCAGAAAGTCCCCTCAGAGCAACTTTTTTGCCCTTTTAGTAACTTTTCTCAGGTTCCAGGCCCCCTGAACAAACTCTGCTTACTACACAGTACTTTTTTTTTCAGTTTGCGCCTCCTCTCAAAGGTGCCAGGGCTCTGCAGAATTCAATTAAACATATTTGAGGGTAATTTTTTTAAAATTGCCCTTAAAGTGGCTTTAAAATTAAATCAAATGGACGATTAAGGGAAAAAATACTTCCGGGGTTCAGCCTTCCAGGCCCCAGAGGTGGGCATGTGCGCCCCTAGGCTTCTGGCAACTGCCCACCCCTGAAGTATACGGGAGCAGATAAAAAACGGGGAGAAAGGCAAACCGTGAGTTTCCCTCAGGTAACTAGGAGACCCCTGGAGGAGAAGGGCTCCTCGCTCTGGCGACCCAGACCCGTGAGGCGAAAACGAGCCCCTCACCTGGGCACCTGATTCCGCCTTCCCAAGCCCCTCAGTCATCCCTCCGGCCGAAATCCCGGAGCCAAAGCCACACAAACTCTCCCCTCAGAAACTTCAAAAGAGGAGCCCTGGGGCTTCGGGTCGCACCGCGCATGCGCCCCCAGCTCCCGCGCACGCGCCCTTCGCGACTCCAAAGACGCTTCCCCGTAAAGGCGAAAAAAAAGCCTAGCGCTCTCCCGCCTGCTTCTCTCAGTCTTGCGCATGCGCAGTACCCGCTCCGGGAGATTTCCCTTACGTGCTACTTAACTAGAGCGTCGCTCACCGTGTTCGTACCTGCGATCGTGAATAGCGGGTAGGGGTGTGTGTGTCTTTTTTGACGCACCGCCTCTCCTGGGAGGTTTCGTTGTAATACTCGAGCTTGAACTGAGGCGTCCTGTTCTTTTTGCAAGGTGGATCCCCTTCTATGTTCATTTGTCTCACCCGGATTTCTCTTGAGCAGGCTTCCTCTTTGAATGCATAATTATGGAGAAGGAGATAATCTTGAATCCAGTGCAACGTATTGTTGTTTTTCTGTAACATCAGGTCGCCTCCATAGGTCGCCTCATGAATGAGGAATCCCCAAAATGCCCCTGGGATCAACTGCGACTGTATTATTATTATTATTATTATTATGAATAAGGAATCTCCAAAATGCCCCTGGCCTCAACTGCCCTGCTCAGCTGTTGAGAACTCAAGCCTGTGGCTTCCTTTAGGGTGTTGGTCCATCGTGGCTTCCTTTAGGCAGTTGGTCCATCTCCTGTTTGTTCTTCCTCATTTCCTGCTGCCTTTCTACTTTTCCCAGCATTATGGTTTTTCCCCCCTAGGGAATCCTGCCTTTCCATGACTGCTGCTTTCCACTTTTCCCAGCATAATGTTTTCCCCCCCAGGGAATCCTGCCTTTCCATGATGTGCCCAAAGTTGGATAGCCACCGTTACATCCTGAAATAGTTCAGGCTTAATTGGCTACAGGACCCACTTGTTCATCTTCCTGGCCATTCAGGGTACTGGGAAACCTCTCTTCCAGCACCACATTTCAAACAAATCAATTTTTTCCCTGTCAGCTTTCCTTAACTGTTCGGCTTTCACACCCATTACGTATACGGTGATTGCGAACACAAGAGTGTGGACGATATTGCTCTCAGTTGCCAGTGACAAATCCTTACACTTGATGATCTTATCTAATTCCTTCATAGCTCCCCTTCCTAGTCTCCCTTTTCTTCTAATGGCTTGGCTACTCTCCATTTGGATTGCTGATTGAACCAAGGTATACAAAATCTGTTTCCATTTCTTCATGGTCAGCATTAAATCATTAAAAATATTATAACTCAAATGTGATAGAATACAAAATAAGTGGTGATGTGATTTCTACCTGAAACCACAGTCCTAATGATTTTTTCCCTAAGAGCTGAATGCCATACTTTTGTGTTTATTACTTAGTACTGTAAGAGTAAATTCATTTTCTGGATATCTGCTGCATCTAGTTGTGTCCGAAGACAGTAGAATTCGTGCAATAGGTTCCTGTACTCTCAACAAAAACAGTAAGTCCACTACTGGCATTGGTATGATTTTCTGATCTGTAGCAGACTCAGGTTTCTTTAAATACTAACCTCCAGAAATCGTGCCTGCTTGGTGGTGGCACCTGCCCTTTGGAACAGGCTTCTGGTTGAGCCAAGCCTGACCCCCTTCCTTTCTACATTCAACAGGTTGCTTAAAACGGTGCTTTTCAAAGAAGCTTTTGATAGCATCCTCTAAAGAATCTGCCAAATTTGTCCTGCCCGTCTGCCTATTGCAGCTGCTCTTGGTATGTTTTATGCTGTTTTTCTGATTTTTTTCTTACTGTTTTCTATTTTGATTACTGTTCACTTTTATTGTTATATGGTTGTATTTTTTTTTTAAATTGTTTGCTAACTACCTCAGAGTAGTGCCTCACGCTAATCAGGTAGTATAAAAGTGGAATGAATGAATGAATATCCATGGACAAACTATCAGATGCAAATATAACAATAAAGTTCCTGCCGTGTTCCACATTTTGAGTTCATTGCACCATTAATTTGCCGAGGGGTAAGGTACCCTCTGTGAACCACTTTGTGACTCTGTTCTCTCAGTCAGTGGAGATGGATTTAGAAGGACGTGTTGAACAGGATCAAGGTGGGAGTCTGATCATTTCACTGAAAAATGCTGCAAAACCAGCAATTATTTATGGTCTTTCTGTTACAGATTATAAAGACACATTTTCCGTTCAATTGCATTCCTGGTGCTTTCCATGGCAGGATTCTTAAGCACTTTACAAATATGCATGAATTAATCCTCTCAGTATCTCTGGAGAGAGTATACATTAAATTACTAAGGTAATTGAAGAAAGATACAATTACCTTTGGCTAACAGAGGAATTACAAGAACCAGAGCAATCATCTGAAGAACTATACTGCACAGCTGGAAATATGCCACAACTGTGCTTATGTGACAACTTCTGCAGTTTACCGAAAATAAACCACACATGCAAGCAATTTCCTGACATATTTGATTTAACATAGGGTTGCATATTGTTAGTTATATTTTTGAGGAAATAATATGAGATGCAGTTGGAGGTCTTCCACCTTAAAATGAGGAGGGCAGGGGCTGTAGGAAAAGGTGACAACTATAGAGCATGCAGTCAGCAAAAATGTTTGGAAAGGATTTTATTGAGGGTGTGTCTTTTCTTTATAGTCCATAGGCGAGGGTAGGGTATTAGACCATGGGGGAAAAATCACACATGTATGCTACTTTTTGGCCCATATGGGTCTTCATCAGGCTGGGCACAACTTATCTCTAGATGGTAGAGAATATACATAAGATTTCAAAAAAAATCAGGGCTAGAGGTCTAAACCAGACTTCAAAGCAAAGTCAAACTGGTAGTCTTGATTGAAATTCCACCTATGTAATGTTATTTAAAGGTCTGCATAGTCAAAGCTATGGTTTTTCCAGTAGCGATATATGGAAGTGAGAGCTAAACAGACCATAAAGGACACTGACCACCGAAGAATTGATGCTTTTGAATTGTGGTGCTGAAGGAGGCTCTTGACAGTCCCCTGACTGCAAGAACAAACCTATCCATTCTGAAGGAGATCAACTCTGAGTGCTCACTGGAAGGACAGATCCTGAAGCTGAGGCTCCAATACTTTGGCCATCTCATGAGAAGAGAAGACTCCCTGGAAAAGACCCTGATGTTGGGAAAGTGTGAAGGCAAGAGGAAAATGGGATGACAGAGGATGAGATGGTTGGACAGTGTCACTGAAGCTACAAACATGGATTAGACCCAACTCCGGGAGGCAATGGAGGGCCTGGTGTGCTCTGGTCCATGGGATCACGAAGAGTCGGACACGACTTAACGACTAAAAAACAACAGTAATGTTGATTGAAATGTCCCAAACTCACCAGACAAAAGCTGCTGTCCTGCACGTTTTTTCCTAGTTGCAAAGGTTTGTCTAGAAGTCAGCATACACATTTCTGCCCCATTGTTCCCGTCCTATTCTGCATGCCAGGTTTAAGTTTCAGCTTAGAAATTCAAGTGCCTTCATCATATACCAATTTCTGCTTCCCATAAACCTTGCATCTGTCAGGGGCTACCAATGGCCAGGATTCTATTCTTGATTTACATGGTCCATAAGGAAAATTACATAGGTCTTGTTGTTGGGTAATTGCTGCTCATTAATGAGGGGGATCATGTCCATGCTTAGGAATGCAAGCAGCACTTTATGAATGAGCATCAATTTGCAGGCAAGACATAACCATTTCCATTATCCAGGATTTTCTTCCTTGGCAAATGCTCAATTTAACTGGTTTTGTAATTTATTCAGACAGAGCAATTAAACTAGAGAAAAATAGGTAAGACGAGTAGGATCACTCATATCCTTTACTTTGAGTTGTTTCAGAAATGGGAGTGATCAAATATACGGAAGCAGAAAACATGGACGTTAGGGGGGAAAACTTTTTTTGGGTGTGCATATGCTACAATTCCCAGATCCTCCAGCCAGTGTGGCTATGATGGAAACCTGGGAGTCACAGACCACAAGACTAACTTTTTGAAGCTCTGGGTCCAGTGTATACGTATTATATATATTGGCTGCAGTGGCTTTCCCAAGATGGAGCCCTCTGCTGAACAACAGCACTTTCTCAGTTCTACTCATATATAATATACTTGTTCAATTTGGTGCATTTAACTGAATCAGCAGGCAATATTTCTGGGAAATTTGGAAAGGAAGGGGACTTATTTTGATCTAATTTAGGCAAATCCAGTCTCTAATTCTTAAATGATAGCTGACATCCTGTTGCACTAGGTATAACATAAAGTTACGTCTGCAGAAATTCACAGGGAGTTATATCCAGACAGTCTGCATGGCTGATTGGGCCACGAGTTGTATCACTGCACTTGCAGAACTTCTTGCTGGTTACCGTTTCTGCTTTCTGCAAATTCTGCAATGCCTTGAATTATGCAGGCATAGCTATGCAACAGGATGTTGGCTTCTGTGAATTCATTGTGCATATAATCTAAGATAGGTTTTTTTTCTGCCACAATTTAGCCACTTTGCCATTATTAAACAGGGGAGAGGGACATTATATCCCATCAGTAGAACACATATGTTGCATGTAGAAAATTCTAAATCCATCCACTGATGTCTCCAATAGAAGAAGCTCAGGGAGCAGGGACAAGATTGGAAGACTTTTGCCCTATGGTTAGAAAAGTCACCATTACTTCCAGCTCCACTAATACTGTAGGTAGTTTTGAACCAGACAGACCAACTGTGTAAAACAGTTTGTGCCCATTCATGGGTAGCTACCGCTAGCTGAGAAGGTTGTAAAGCAGGCAGGGCCACCTCTGTCTCTACAATTAAGCAAGAATAACCTTACTTCCCCCCACTAGAAAACCTTCTTTCAGTGGAAGAAGGAAAATGAAGATAGTTCACCATGTATGCTTGACTGGAAAACCACCTCCTTTTAGTTTACTACTCCTTCAACTGACTCCAGTTGCATTGTAAGGTTTTTGCAACTCCAAATATTGATGCTTGACTGTGCTTTCCCCCCTTCTTTCCCAATTTCTTTTTCTTTTGTGTTATGTCTTATAGATCCTAAGCCTCAAGGCACTGACTTGAGTTATGGTTTGTCTTTGATAGCACCCC